TCAAATTTCAGAAAGAGAGAGAAATATGGCGTGAGGGAGAGAGAGGACTTGGGGTGTGAGAGAGAGATCTAGATATGGGAGGCATAAAGATCTTGTAATGAGAGAGGGTTCAAATAGGTTTAGATAAGAAACAATATCTATCTCCTCTTTGGAACATGTTTCTAGTCTAAGTATGCCTTATCCAATTTCCAATTTGACCTTTAGAATAACTAGAAAATATGTGCAGTGAGAGATTTAATCAAAGCCGTCCATCCCACAAATCAGCTACCACCATTTTGAGTGGAAAGATAGGAACTTTATCCCTTTAGATTTTGATCCAAATCCAACTATTTAAATTTCAAATACAATCAAAGTTAAACATTATCTAGATCTCCGAATAATCAAAGAAGATCTGAATTTTAAATAACTCCCACTAGAATAGGAAACCAAATCTAATTTTCATATTGAGATTTCCCATCTTTAACTAATTTAAAATTTGAACTAAATTTTAAGGAAATGGGGCATCCCCCTTTTTCCTAAAAAAGTGATGCGGAGCTATAGTTTGTTTTAAAGAAATTTTGGGCATAGCCCCTATGACCACAAAAAGTGGCGTGCCCCCCTCTCCCCCTCCTTTCAATATAAGGTGGCGTGCCACCCTAGGAGGTCATGTAGGCCCCACATGGGTGGCACACACATCCGTGGTCCCCACATGTGCTATCAAGTTCTAAAATTTTTAGAGATGCCCTTTTAATGTATTTTACAGCAGAAATAATATTTTAAAAATTTGAAAAGTATTTAAAAATTATAAAAACATTTCTACTACCAAAATAAAATATGTTAGGAGTGGACTGGTACCAATGGGTTATAATTAGCAACAAGGGCCTTCCACTCGTCCTCAAAACCATGATCCACTACTATTTTCTTATCCAACCCAACAAAGACTCATGACCCACAGTCTTATTTCAGGTGCTCATGATTGGCTTGTCAAAATTGGACAATAAACAGTGGGACTATAATCCTGAAATGTGGATTTCAATTTCCCACTTTAAGAACAAGTCTAGCACTTGTCACCACAGTGCAAAGGGGGCTCTCTCTATGCACATGTTCAGATATTCCTCCATAAGGCTACTTCCCACAAATGCGGCTGTCATGTGTGCACGTCGTGCAAAAGTTTGTTGAGGTTTTGGACTTTGCTCTCACAGCACACAGGAGACCACATAGTTCTCCTGGCCTATAAACGTCATTCTTGGGTAGCTCTTCGACCTCGACAAGGGATGATCCACTGTAAAATCCTTTTCAGTAGTGCCACATGCCTAGGGTTAAGGGTTTTGGACACCGCCCAACCCTTGGTCAGTCAACACACACACTCCCACTGAAATGTATATTCCACTATAAAATATCATATTTACAAGGTCGTTAGGCCTTTAAAGGTCACAAAACCCAACACTAATGACATGTCGAGTTAGATAGATGGGTTTGACGTGCGATGGCATCGATGAGAGCATGATTTTGAAGAAGAACAACAATCCAGTCTTAAATTAAATTCGTTGGTGGAACATCTTCTCTTTAATAGCGCTCATGTCTTTGGTGGTGATCTTATTTTTGATAAAGAACAAGGTGATCTTATCTTTGATTGTAATCTTATTTTTGATGAACCATTGGATACAAACGAAGAACTTGGAATTCCCATCTATGCGAAGAACAAATTGCAGACGATGGTGATGGTCATCGTGACGATGGTAATGACTCCGATAGTGATGACCATAGTTATTGGAATCTCTCAACAAAGGTCACGATTCCGATTCGGAGCCCTGATTCCACGATTCCAACAAGAAATCTTCACAAAATCCATTTCTGTGAAGTCAAGAATCTCTATTCCTTATTTTAGGAATCTCGATTCCAACACTTAAAGAATCTCTCTTCCATTATTCATTGATTCTGAATTCTACATTTGTTGAATCTTGATTCTTCACTTCTTGAATCTAGATTCCACATATAATGATACTCGATTCAATTGTTTTCAAATCCAAATTCCTGAACATCAAGCACTGCAGTTCTTAGATGCAAGAAACCACAAGTTAATGAAACATCGAATCTTGCTTCTACCCTCATAGAATCTCGATCTCATTTTTTTTAGAATTGCAATACCGTAGACTCAAATTCTAAGTTTAGGTGCACAAATCTGACTTTTGGATTGGTTCAAATATTTATGGTTTTGGATTGGAGTTATTTGGAAATTGGATTGTAGATGATTGTCTCCCTATGTACAAATATTTGTTATCTCCCATAGTTTACATTTGAGTTCTTTAGAAATTGCGGTGGAGACGATTGTCTCCCGAGCCAGCTTTCACCTAGACCTGCCCCTAGAGTGTTTCCAGCATCTTCTGCCATCACACAGAAGTTCTCACTGCAGCCTGAAGGGGTGGAGAAAAGGAAGAAACTGTGGCTGCCTCCCCACCCACTCCCCCTCCCCCGGCCCCCCTTCTTGAGCCGAAGGCATTGTATCTTTTATTTTTTAATCACACGCAACATGTAATCTCCAGCTATCATTTAATGACAAAATCTTTATAATCTCTATCCATGTGTGTTATTTGTAATTTATGCAATATGTAGTCTCTTTCTAATTTTTAAATCTATCACCATGTGTCTACTTGATGCTTGATTATAAGGTGCTTATAAATCTCGTTTGCCAGATGTGTTGAAACTCGAATCCAAACTGCTATGAATCTCGATTCCAATGTAGGTCGAATCTATATTCCAAACTGGTGCGAATGTCGATTCGAAATGCCTAGAAATGTCGATTCCAGAAATGAAGGAATCTTGATTCCAAATAGGTCGGAAATGCGATTCCATAGAGCTAAGAATCTCGATTCTACTGAGCTAAGAATCTCGATTCCATCTATGTAAGGAATCTTGATTCCATTTTGGTCGGTTCTCGATCCATATAAAATATGAATCTTATTTCCAACAATTCCTCTTGTACGGACGTCGATTCCAAAACCATGAATCTTATAGTCGGCTGCGGCGCGAATCCGATTTCTTAAATGATTCGGGTTCAAAATCATTTCCAACAACTATGGTATTGGTGGTGAAGAGGTAAACGAGGAGGTAGTGACTATAAAGAGCTATTTTCTCTCACCAATGATGGGGTTGACCGTTCTTGTTTCCAATTAAATGATTCTATGCTACAAAAAGGCATACTGCAATAGTTGGGTGCACCAAAATTCTCAACTTAGTTGAGGATATTTTGAATAGGCCTATAACCCATAGGTCCCAAGATCAAGCCCCTACGCTAATGCGCAATATTTGGTTTGAGCGAGACTTAATGTTTAGAGGAAGATTCGTATTTACCCATTTCAAAACGTGAGGGCGGGTTTTCTCCAACTAAAGGAAAATGGTAAGAACTGGGTGTTAAAATTTAATTTAATTTTTAATTTCATGGATGTGGGTATACGTTTTATTGTTTTGTTAAGGTTATTTTTTGGGAATAATAATGTGCGGGATATCTCCAATACTTAGTTTTTAATTTTTTACTTTTTTACTTTATTTATTTTTATTTTTTATTTTTTGTATTCGATGGTTGCTATTTGTGTGCATTGCTCATGGATGCTATTCCTAGGTTACTTCTCACATGGGTATTTATAAAATTTATAATACTGTTTAGGGGTATTTTAAAGTCTTAAATTGTTTATTTGGATCATAAGTTAATTTTAGGGTTTCACAGGGGTTGAACGTCATATTATGGGAAGCTTATGTTATTATAATGAATTTTGTTTTATGAAAGAAGAAAATTTTCCTCCTCTTAGCTTGATTTATGGCCATGCTTTTTCTCCATTATTGCAGATTTTTACTTGTTTAAGGTTCGGGAAAAGGTTGGATTTAATTTCCCACCTTTCCTTCCTGCATCAAAGATCCTTAACGGCCCTAAAGACCTGAACAAGGGTTTCCCTAGTATTGAAGTCAATGTATTAAATGGCCTCACTGGGGTAAAAATTCTTGATTTGCTAATAACAGAATTTAAGAACAAGATGTTTATTTTGGGTTCTCATAATTTAGGAATGATGTTAAGTACAGTTCACAGACACCCATAGATTTGTAAACATCAGTCATATATTAGACAATAATAATTTGAAATAGCAAAATGTTTCACTAGTGCACTAAGGACATCGTGTTTGTGTTTACAAAATATATTCATTATTATCTTATTGTACTTGAAAACTAATATTTTTTTAATTATATATACTTGAAAATGAGACGTTGGTTCTGTCTTTGTGATGCTCTATATTGTAATGTGTGGGAATAGAATCCAACCCAATGCTCTTTCCCAATTATCTTTTAGGATTAGTCTGGAAGTTTTAGCTCTAGTAGGAAGCAAGTTTAAGATTCCCTAAATTTATTTTACAATATACTACTTATATAACATGATGTCTACTTTATGTGATTCCCAAAAGTCGGATCAAGTTCTGTAAAGGTGGAAGTGAGATTTCATGTTATTAGCATCATGGTTTTGTGCACCTATGAATTGCGATATTTGATGCTATGAAATCTAGATTCTAAAAGAATCAAATCGAGATTCAATAAATGTGGAATGTAGATTCTGAACTTTTACAAAAGTGGGTTCCATGTAGATTCGTTGATGGAATCGCCGAATCGAGATTCTGAAGCGGAATTGCCACCTGGGCTGAGAGATTTTGATAATTGTGGTCAGCAAGGTTGTGGGTTTTTTGCTTTTTGTCCCCCCCCTCTTCCTGCAAACAAAACAATGTTCTAACTTATTATCAGAAATTACAATTATTTGAACGGAATAGATCTTTATTGTAGATCGTGCATTTTTAGGGTAATTTAGTGGTAGGATCTGAACTTGGCGTGTTTTGTTGGAGTGTCAACAACTTAACCAATCGAGCCCCTGCCCATGTTTGAACTCCTGCAATGTCTGCAGTAAATTTTATCTATTTTATTGGCGTGTATGTTTCTTTCCCGTATTATATTATGTTGTCGATCAGTTTTCTTCTACCTTGTAGCTCGCCTTGGGCTGCAACAGGGGCTATGGATCAAAAGCTGGTCATTTGGGATTTGCATCACTCATTACCACGCTGCACTTGCGACCACGAGGCATGTTGCATTACTTGTTGCATTCAATTCTTTGTCACATTATCCCTTGTTTATGCCTAAAATTGGAATGATTTTCTTTCAGGAAGGTGTGGCATGCTTGTTATGGTTAGGTTCAACTAAGTACATAGCAACCGGTTGTGTAGGTGGAAAAGTACGTATCTGGGATAGCCTATCTGGTAATTGTGTTAGGACTTTTAGTGGGCATTCTGACTCTATCCAGGCTCTGGCCGTCTCTAATAATGTGCAGTCCCTTGTCGCAGTTTCACTTGATAATACTGCACGTGTTTATGATATTTCAGAATTCCGCTTGTGAAGCATTATTCACAATTCAATATTACTTATGTTGGTTTGTAACGCATTCATATCTCCTGAAAATTGTAATTGTTTCAAACCTGTGATTATAAGGTGTGAAGAGTACTGGAACAATGAAGTTTTAATTGTGGTCATTTTATCTGCACTGTCAAAGTCTTTTGACAGTAAAAAGTTTGGCTGCTCTGTTGAAGTCTTTTGACTGTTAAAGTGGTCCTTTGGCAGTATTGAAAAGTAACATAATGTCCATGGTGTTTAATTTCATGGTATATGATTTTGGAGTTTGCTGCAATCTTTGTTGAGATTGGCTTCAAATCCTGCTCTGGTTTGGCCATGAATGAGAAGAGCTTCTGATGATTTAAGGGAGTGTTTGGTTATTTTTTAGAAATATAAATAAAAACTGAGAAACATGTTCGGCCTACTTTAGTTGTGGTACTGCGCTTGAGCTTCGAGGCCAAGCTTGAAACTTCCCCTATAGTGCAGCTAGGTGTCTACAGTTGTTCGAAATAGCCATCACCCGAAAATACATTACCTAAAAAGCTTGTGATCAGTTGTTCCAATAGCCATTTCCTAATAACCTTGCGATTCATAATTTATTTCTTCATTGCAGGAAGTTTTCCTAGGTGAAAAACATAAAGGCTCAAGTTACCTAAAAAAGGCTTGTAAATTACAAATGAAATGCAAAAGGACTGAGAAGCAAGGGGTGTAAATTACAAATGAAATGCAAAAGGACTGAGGAGCAAGGGGTGTAAATTACAAATGAAATGCCAAAGGACTGAGGAGCAAGGGGTGTAAATTACAAATGAAATGCAAAAGGACTGAGGAGCAAGGGGTGTAAATTACAAATGAAATGCAAAAGGACTGAGGAGCAAGGGGTGTAAATTACAAATGAAATGCAAAAGGACTGAGGAGCAAGGGGTGTAAATTACAAATGAAATGCAAAAGGACTAAGGAGCAAGGGGTGGTCTCATTGTCCCAGTTTACATGTAGGGGTCGTTTGGTTCGTGTGAAATAATTTAATAGGAAAATGTTTTCAGAAAAAAGTTTTTCATTGTGCATCCAATTTACAGAGAAAGGTTTACTTAAGCAGGCTTTTTCCCATGATGGCTAAACACACACTTGGAAACAGGTACAAAGAGAGAACACAACTTGAAATTTTGATATGGTTTCTCTCTAAAATTTTGAACTGGAAAACTTGAAATTTGATATTTATATAGATTCTCTGTCTAAAATTTGGAGATAGTTTTTCTCTTTAAAACAGTTTTTCTTTTAAAAACTTAAAATTTGAGATAATTTATTTGAAAAATTTAAAATAGAGTCGCCTTGAAAATTTTGAGATGGTTTATTTTTGAAAATTTTGAAGTTTGACATAGTTTCTCTTTAAAATTTTTGAGATAGTTTCCCTCTAAAACTTAAGATTTGAGATGGTTTCTTTCTAAAAATTTTGAGACATTCTCTCTAAAATCTGAAATTTGAGATAGCTTCTCTCTCTAAAAATTTGGGATATCTTTAAAAATTTTAGGATCGTTTCACTCTATAATTTTATAATTTTTTAGATGGTTTCTCTGTAAAATTTGAAATTTGATATAGTACATCTTTTGAAAAAAATTGAGATATTTTCTATCTCAAAAACTTAAAATTTGAAATAGTTTTTCTCTCTAAATTTTTTAAAAGAATTTGAAATTTGAGATGGCTTTTCTCAACAAAAACTTTGAGATAGTCGCTCTAAAAATTTTAAATAGTTTCTCTCTCTAAAATTTTTGATATAATCTCTCTCAAAAATTTAAAATTCTCAATATAAAATTTTTGATATTGTTTCTCTCTTTAACACTTAAATTTGAGATAGTTTCTCTCTAAGAAATTTAAGATAATTTTTCTCTCTAAAAATTGAGATAATTTTTCTAAAACGTGAAGTTTGATATAATTTTATTTCTTAAAATTTTGAGATAGTTTCTTTTTAAAACTTAAAATTTGAGAGAGTTTCCCTTTCTTAAAAAAATTGAGATAGTATATCTCTCTTAAACTTAAATTTTGAGATAGCTTAATTCGTATCCAACGGAAAAAATAACGCTACGTGATTTGTTCCCCACATTATGAGGTGGCGAGTTATTTTCATATGAAATGGATCATTTTATGGTAAATAATTTTCACATAGAATAAATTTTCACTTGTTTAAAAGTACGAACAAATATGTGTAACCTCTACTTCTAGACAAATTCCCCCAACCAAGTTTTTTTTAACAACTTTTACTTCAAATTTAACTTCTAGCAAATACACTCAAGTCAAAATGTCGTATTTTCTTGACGAAATTTCCCGTACATATACAGCCAGACATTAATGTGGAAAGCATGCGGGTTGGCGCAAAATAAGGGGCGGTCCGGCACTTTGGGCTATTGGAAAGCGTGGATCCAACACAAAATAACGGTGGTCTGGCACTTTAAGCTTCTGGAAAGTGTGGGTCCAACAAAAAATAGGGGCGGTCCAACACTTTGGGCTTTTGGAAAGCATGTAGTTCGACAAAAAATGGGGGCGGTCCAGCACAAAATAGGGGTGGTCTGACACTTTGGGCTTCTGTAAAGTGTGGATCCAGCACAAAATAGGGGTGGTCCGATACTTTGGCCTTCTGGAAAGCACACTGTCCCGCACAAAATAGGGGCAGTTTGACATAAAATAGGGGTGATTTGGCACTTTGGCTTTGGATTGTTAGGGGGTTCATTAGTTGTTGCATAGAGGTCAAGCACTTTGGTAGAAAGCGAGTCCACGTCAATGTCTTCGTCAAAAAATATATGACTTTTTGACTTAGGCGTATTTGCTAGGAAAGTTAAATTTGGGATAAAAATTGCTAAAAAACAATTTGTTGGAGGGAGGTTGTCTAAAAAGTCTTATTTTGAGAAGGTTTTGTAATTTTCCCAAAAACAATTATGGGGATTTCATGTGAACGGACAGATGGATTTGCATTACATAGACTCATTTGGTTTAGCTTTTCCAAAAAATTTTGAAATCAAACTTGATACTCATTGTTCTAAACTAGGAGATTCTTTGTTTATTTTTTGTGTTTTATTTTTTTACACTTGAATTTTTCTGGGCAGTTGAGTAATTGTGTTGTTAGAAGTTGATATTTATGGCAATGTGTTATGGAAGGTTAAATGGTTTTCAATGCTTCCTTGAATTTAGGGTTTTCTATTTATAGTTGTTCTGTTGGATATGATTTTGCTTGGTGCACTTATATAATTGAGGATTGTTTCATGTTAACGCATTAAATGAAATTCGAGAAGCTTGATGGTTTCTTAGAATCGCTCAACTTAGTGGTGGAATACATGGAATTGATTTTGCTAGCTTGTGGTCTTTACTATATCTAGGTTTAATGCATTTTGACATTCTTGAAGATTAATATAGCCTTGTAGCACTGATGGTAGACAGAGGGGTGTAGGGTTGGTTGAAATTGGGTAATGTTGGAGGTAAAGGTTGCTGCTGGGGATGAGAACTTTTTAGCTTTAGATCGACCGGTTCTTTGACGAAATCGAAGCTTTGTGTTGTACCCCCTCTTGTGATATCTTTGGTCTTGAGTCTTGACGATTGGGCTAAAAGGGGATGGGATTTGACATATGTTTCGGGGGTGAAGATACTAGGAGCAAATAAAGTGGCCTTTTGTTGCGATCTAAAGAGGATGTTGCAAAAGCTTTAACTCGCAGATTTTTTAGAGTTAGAGGTAAATTGTTATCTTTGGATTTATGGAAGCCCTTAGTGCATGATTCTCATATGGTGAGAATTTAACTTTAATCCACCTCTTCATGGGTGGAATTTAACTGTAATCCAAAAAATTGCTAGACTTGGCGGAGATTATTGTGATGTGGATTGGAATTCTATCATCGGCTCGGATTTTCGTTTTGCTAGAGTTAAAATTGGGAGGCTCCAAGGTATTGTTATTCCCCAAAAAATTCGAATGTTGATTGAGTAGACTTCCTTTGAGATTTCTATCTCGGTTGAGGGTGTTTCACTAAAAATGGGGAATAGAGGCGAATCGATTGTTTCAAATAAAAAAGTGGGGGCAGAAAATGGTACGATTTCAACAATAACATCTGAAACTATTCTTGTTTTCAGGCACGCAGGTTCGCTATCTCAAGACGATATTTGCCCCCTTCGATATAGTATTTGACATGCAAAAGAAGGGTAGTCCGTCATCGGGATATAAGAAAACAGAGACATCTTTTACAATGTTCCTAAGCTCTATTCACCCGAGCTTGAAACCCACACAATAGACACCAGAGTCTTTATAGTCTAGAGAGAGAAAGAGATAAAATTGAGTAGAGAGAGTGTGTAGCCCGTTGGTTTGTTTGCTGGAATTGCAGAGAATGGTTTATTGAAAGAGATGCAAGAGCTGTGAAGAGTGCCATTTTGCATGGTTGAAGGACCCTTTTATATAGAACCACAAAGTGACCACATATTTACTGTAGCGGTGGTTACACGCACTACCAACATCTACAAGTTACATGCAGCCCCTTAATTCACTTGATGGCTGCTGTTACAACCTCATTTTGCCACCATTGCATCAACGACTATATGACCGTTGGATGACCCACATGCATCAATGGCTATATGACCGCTCACAAAAAGAGAACGAACCACGAGCCCGACCCACACACGTGCTCAGGCGAGGGGCTCCTCTTGTGCCGATGCAAGTAAAGTGCAAAGTGCACTACCAACAACCAACAATTACAAGTTATATTCAGTCCCTTAACTCACCTGATGACTGCTGTTATAACCTCATTTTGCTTCCATTTCATCAATGACTATGTGATCGTTGGGTGACCCACATGCATCAACAGCTATATGGCCGCTCACAAAAAGAGAACGAACCACGAGCCTGTCCCGCACATGTGCAATCCCTTAACTCATTTGATGGTTGTTGTTACAACCTCATTTTAGCTCCATTTCATCAACGAGTATAAAACAGTTGGGTGACCCACATGCATCAATGACTATATGACCATTGGGTGACCACATGCGTCAACGACTATATGACCGCTCACAAAAAGAGAACGAACCACGAGCCCGACCTGCACACGTGCTAGGGCGAGGGGAGCCTCTTCACCAATGCAAGCGAAGTGCAAAGTGCACTACCAACAGCTACAAGTTACATGTTGTTACAACCTCATTTTGCTTCCATTTCATCCACGGCTATATGACCATTGGGTGACCCACATGCATCAACAGCTATATGATCGCTCACAAAAAGAGAACCAACCACGAGCCCAACCCACACA